CCCTTGTAGTAGGAAGGGGTTTTCCCAGTGCTGCACTAATATAACAGCTATATATATATATATATATATATATATTCCAGGCTTCTACTGAAATTTGACTTGCTGGTGTAACATCTCTGTCATCACTATAATCAAGAGATAGTGATTTTTTATTTATTTAATTTGTATTCAGTTTGTGGCACAATTTGGTAGGTTTTATATGTTCACGAATTTTACTATATGCATGACTATCTCAAGAAAAACATGCATGTGTTACAGTACAACAGTTTCATTCAAAGATATTCCCAGTATGCAAAATGTTCAGCTTGTGTGCATTTTCATGCTAGTAGTTGATGTGCTTCTGGAAGGCTGGAAGTCTTATTTTTGGCCCTTATCTGCATGTTTACAGAATTGCCATTTAGAGGCGAATTAGTATCGGATGACATGGGTTTCACTAATGTGCATAAAATATGGTTTTCAAATTTAACATGACTTCTACATTAAAACTGTCTGTTTTCAGTTTTTGATGAGCTGTGATTTCATTCATAATCCAAAGCTAGATATTATATTGCTCTTGTTTGACCTTGTTTGACCAGGTTGAATCCTGTCCAAGTTTTTATGCCAAACAAGGAGTTTGATGCTATTTTCAAGTTGGTATTATTTAGTAGAACGTCTTAAAAACATAATATTGATGTTATGCTTCATGGTTATTTTTTCCTTAATATAAGGTCTAATCATTAAACTTTCCTCATCTTTACTGAATTTAGTCCGTAAAAATTTTGCTGAAAGTTTTTTTACTTCAATGTTGTATACCCCATGACAAGTAATCTATTACGATGACCTCGCTCTTGAAGTTATGACTTGGCCCTTGAAGTGAAGTATCTATACTTATATGACATGCAGTAATGGATGGAACAGTGGTCCTAGTTTCAATGGGGCCTTGGATTTGAAACCTACTTGACAAGTTCACATGTATTGTACTTGTGAATGTTAAGCCCACAGATACGCCAGATTGAATGGAATAGAAAAAAGAAGTGGCTTTTCCACGTAGAGATTTTGTCTCATGCTTGTAGATAACTTTTGTTCAGTTGGATATATTAAGTGTTTTAACGTGCTATAAATGTATTCTTGTTTTGCCAATTTGGCCATTCTGTCTGACATGTCTCCCCGGATGTTTGTGGTGTTATTGTATGATTGGTGAGTGGAGTTGTACAAGAATAGCATTTCATTCATTATATAGGTACCTGGGGCATTGTTAAAATCTAGACTCGTTAACAGACCTGAAATATGCTTGGAAGTTAACCTTGGTTTGTATATTATGATATCTTTTCCAGGTTGATAGCATATAAGATAGAGAGATACAAATTCAATTCATGAACATCATTTTTAATTCAAAACTTTAAAACAGTAGATTTATGAATCTTATAACTTTTTTTATTTTTACTCCAACTTACTACAATTTCCAAGAATATATTTTTCTTTCAATGTTTGATGTTTTTCTTTAGCCTCGAATCATCATCAGCAAAGCATCTCTTGACTTTCTGAAACCTCATGAACTTAACACCAAATTGACATACAGGGAAGGGAAGGCAGTGGTGGATAAGTATTATGACATGAACTTTCTTCACACCAATGGCGATGAAACATGGATGCCATGTTGTCACCATTCTTCAATCATTGTTTTTGTTAAATATATTATCCATACCACATCTATAAAATTGTTTTAGAAGTAATAGTCCCTTCCATATTGTTTCCATATTCCTCTCAATCCAGATTCTTTCCAAATTTATTATCGCTCATACATAGATATAATTTAGAAAATACATAACATAAACATTAGAATAAAAAATGTAAAATACTTATCCACCAATGAATACACAACTAAAAAAAATCAATTGACATTCTCATATCCACCAAAAAGTAAACTAATACACTTTTGGAGAAATATAAAATACTAAAACAACTTAAAAAATATTCATTGGAGGTGTCTTACAAAGAGTAGGAAAAAGCTTCGAAATCAAAATTTTAATATCTACGAAAAGAATATGAAATGTTTAATTTTGAATCTAAACAACAATATTTTTCATGTGTTATTTGTCTCAAAGGTGTACCAAAAAGATATTCTAAATAATAAAATAATATATAGATATGTTAATTTGATTCATGGTGTATGGGTCAGTCCTATCTGATTAAGTTTTATTTTATAGGATCACCATATAAGTGGGTTAAAAAATAATTTCAACTCCCAAAGCACCTTCTTAAAGTGGGTTAGGCTGAAGGCTAAAGTAGTATCGATTCTATCATAAAACTTCAATTAATTAACACCTTCAATTCAATCTACGTAAGAGGTCAAGCCAAGTCGTTCTAGCTTGAAGGTCAACTCGATTTTGTCTAGATTAAAGTTTTATTTGAGATTATCTAATTGGTCTGGGTCAAAGTTTAAGATGGATTACTCGGATTGAAAGTTGAGACTGGATGACTCGAGTCAAAGGTCAAGATGAACTTACTCAAGCTGAAGGTTGGGACGAGCCAACCTAGACCAAAAGTTGAGAGATACTAAAGTTTGAGCCAAGTCAACATAGGGCAAAAGTCGAGTTAAGTTGTTCGAGGTAAAGGTCAAACCAAATCAATTCGACACAAGAGTCGACTCGACGTCAAGCCCCAAAGGGTCTAGTAGAGTCGACTACATCGAGGATAAGTCGAGTTAACCCAGGTACAATCCAACCTTGTCTATCTTGATCATAGATAAACTAACCTAGGTTGACTCATGGATTAACCCTAACCCATAGAATTTTTGGTGTTATTTTGGTCTTATGAACTTATACTGTTTTTTTTTTCTTTAGTCATGTGGGTCAAGGTCAAGCCTTACGAGCTTGGCCAAATGATAATTATAGTAATATCTAAAATTCTTAGAGAATATAAGGAATTTTGCTTGTGTGGTAATTAAAATAATTGAATTTCATAACCTAGACATGATAATAATAGAGTTATAGAGTAACATTAAGGTAAAGTAAATGAAGAAGTATTGAAAAATCAAGTGAATCTCCAAAATAATTAAAATGCATCAGATAAGGTTGTAACAATTTCAATACCAGAAGAGAAAACTAGAGACAAAGGATATAATAACAAAAGGAAGAGAGAAGAAAATTTCAAACAAAAAGAGAACAATTTAGAATAATTAGATCATAAAAGTGATTGAAATAATTATGGTGTTGTCAATATAGAGAGAGGATGTAATAACATACTAAAAATGAGAAATTTTAATTGTTTCTATTGTGAAAAGTTCACACTACTAGTGTAACGAAGAGTTTTGGCACTAGTTTTTTGTTACGATACTCTCATTCTACAATTGAATCATATATATGCAAGATCTTTCACGAATTATAAAAATTCATAAATTATGGAGATAGGTACAAGTTTCAGTTTAACCTATAACTAAAACTTATGCTTTAACATCTAGTTAAAACCTTTTAAAAATGCTTGTGACATTTATAAAAATATTTACACAATTATAAGCTTCGGTTATTTAAAGAAAAAAAGCCTTAAGTTGTGTAAATATCTTAAAAAATGTCACCGTGTCATTATAAGTAATGCTGTCAAAATAGGTTAGAACCCGCGAGCCAACCCGACCCACCACGGGTTCGAGCTGGAATGCAGTTTGAAAAAATGTCATTTTTTGATATGGACCAATTTTCAACTCGGCCCACTTAGAACTCGACTCATTCGGGTTGAACCCGTGGTGAGTCGGGTTGACTCACCAACCAACCTAATTAAATTTAATTATTTATTATTTTGTGTTTCAATATTATTAGTTAACATTTTTTTTATTGTGTTGTAGATGGAGATAAAGAAAAAGATGTTTCAAGAGAGAAAAATATTATGGATTCTAATGTTATAAATGAATAAGTGACACAAAAATGATCAATTTTAGAAACTTATTTATTCGCTTGTTGTGCTTGTTTTTGGATTATATGGTATTTTTTTTTTGTTTTGAATTGTCTTTTTGGAGTTTAACATCATTTAGAGTGAAATTTATTTAGATTTGAATTACAAAAAATTGTTATTTGTTTTAGATTTGAAAAAAAATGTAATTAAGTGAGCCAGTGAGTTAACTCGTTTAACCCACCAACCTGTGCTGGGTCAGACTATAAGCTTAGATTATTTTTAAAATACCAAAGTCTATACTCATAGAATTATAGGGTCTATCAAGAAGGAGGTTCACCGGGGAGATACAACCACCAATGAGATCTGAGCCCAACCACATAAGGGATTGACATCACTCTCTACCCAAAACCTTACTAGTACAATAAAGAGAAAAGGCACCGATTGTTTATGTTTATAGGCATCGGTTCTACAACCGAGACATATGTGGGCGAGGTAAAAAGGTTAAGCTTTATGCCTCGGTTATAGACCGAGATAAAACGAGACAGGAATATGTCTCGATTCTTAGATAACCGAGGCAATAGCGTTTTATTTTTTTTTATTTTTTCAGACTTTAGACTCGGTTCATTCATTTTGTCATGCCAAACAAACTCAAGATTTCCCAATTTCAGCTTAAGAATCTAAAACAAACAAGAAAACCATAACAGGAATCAATCAAGACACAATATTACAACAACCAATGTCAAAATTCTATCTAGAGAAGCAGCAAACATCATGAGCTTCTTCGAGGAACAACATACATACAAACAACCAATGTCAAAATTACAACCCACAAAACCAAAGTGATAATAGCAACAACTAATGAGAAGAAACTTAGAAGCATAGATGAAGCAACACCTCCTTGTGATGTTTGATGGACATGTCAAGTTTTGTTACTGCAATAAGGGAAAATAGCGGTCCATACTCAATCAACAACACCTCCATATCCAAATCCAGAGAAGCAAAATGTGTGTCACACAGCAAAGGGCATACCCAAATCATGAGCTTCTTCAAAACTTCTTCCTCTTCGCACATGGTGAAACAGAAAGCCAGGGTTTCTCTGTCCTTCACCCAACGGTGTGGTCAGAGGCCACTTATCCATGCAGTTCAGCTTCTTCGCGCCACCTAAACCGTCGACAGAAGCATCTCCGACCACCACCATCTCCCCCACGAAGCTTGCCAGCATCCACCATGAACCACTTCAAGAGCCACCTCCAAGTCTCCAGATCAGGTCGATGTGTTCATATCCTCCGCCGTCCCCACCCTCCTCGCCACCGTCACTGACTTCCTCTACTCCCCCTCCTTCCACGAATCCTCCATCCTCGGGTGGTTCTCCGCCCGTCACAGATCTGCCCTCCACCACTCCATGCGCGCAGATCTGCCCTCCGCCCCTCCATGTGCGCAGATCTGCCCTCCGTCACTGCTGCGTCCTCGTCGCTATTGTGTTCTCATCGCCGCGTCCTCGTCGCCGTCACGTCCTCGTCACTGCGTCCTCACCGCATCCACCGTCGTCGCACATCACATGAGAAGAGGAGGTCGTCGCACATTACAAGAGAAAAGGAGGAGAAGAGGAGAGGTGCTAGGTTTTTGGGGAAATATTTTTGCTTTCTCGATTTAAGCCCCACAGTCCAAGCCCAATATGCCTCGGGTCCATCTGCCAACCGAGGCCGTATCTTTGCTATGTGAGGGTTATGTCTCGGTTCACCCTAGCAACCGAACCAGTATTTTCTTTAGACACCGGTTGCTTAACAACCGAGGCATATAATGCTATTAAAATTACGAGACTGCCACCACGTTTTGATATGCTTCTGTTCCATAAAAACCGAGTCATAATATACGAGTTAAAAACGTCATTTTTTATTAGTGCCTTAAGACAATGACTTAATGAATCTTTTACCTTTATATAGTGTTATTTAGAATTGTACAAACATTTTAAAAGATATCACCACATTATTATGAGTTTTTATTTTCCTAGGAACCAATGTCAAATCCTATTTTTCATCAGTGCACATAAAGTTGCATATAAAATGTGTAGTTAAAACTCAACATATCAAAATAAATAAATAAATAAATATATATATATATATATATATATATATATATATATATAATATTGATGATCAATTTAATAACCCATTAGAACTAAGTGAGTATATAAGACAATATTGAAATTAAACGTGTACTGAAACCAAATGGGTCTATAAGACCAAACTTAATCTCCATAGAATTTGTGGGATTATTTTTTAACTTATTAAGCACATTTATAATAACATTGATTTTGTTATAAGAGACTTGATAGCCTCTCAAACCTTAGATTCTTTTAATCAGTTTAATCTCACATTTAAAATCTTTTAATTTCTATAAATAATGAAGTTTTATTCGGCCTTCTTTACTCACCCAACTCGAAACCTGAGAAAAAAAGCAATGTCCAAAAAGTAAAATGAAGCAGCACATAACTATCCTTTTTTTTTGAAACAGAAGTTTACAACCAAGTCAAATATTAAGTTTTAAAATCCTCCTTTTAATTTTCTAAATAAAAAAATACAGGAAAAAGACATGCAAACTATTTATAATTCAAAATACTAATTGCATCAAATTTTCATACAAAACTTGTGTATATACATATTATAATATTCTTAAAAGTTAAAAACAATTTTCTCGATGGAAACAAAACTTAGATAAATCAAAATGTCAGCGATATTTTTTGTAATTTACTAAAAAAAGTGTAGATAATTGGAAAATACCTTATCAAATATTTTTAATATTATATTTAGGGTTAAATATGTTTTTAGTCCCTAAACTATCAAGCAAATTTGTTTTTAGTTCCTCTTTAAGGTACATTTTAGTCCTCCTCCTTAAGGAAATCTTAATTTTTTGTCTTCAAAAACTAACATCGTTAAAAACCAGCTGAGTTGGCTGACGGTGTGCCACGTGTGTTCATCGTTTTCCTTCCTAACTCTTGGCACGTGTGATGACACGGATCCACCCTCTACATCATGACCCACCCCACCTCCATCTACCTCCTCGACTTCTCCTGGACTTCTCCTGCTACCGTCCCCCAAATCACCTCACCGTCCACTTCCAAAAGTTCATCCACCACTCCACCCTTACCGGCGACTTCCTCCGACCATACCGCGCTAGGGAAGAGGCTGAGCAGGTCATGTTCGGCGCCCTTGACAACCTCTTCGCCAACACCCGCATCAAACCCAAGGACATCAGAATCCTCATCGTCAACCCCACGCCCTCCCTTTCCTGCTTTACTCTCTCTCTTTCTTTCTCTAAACTTTCGTTTACCAAGTTTTTTGTTCTACTTGGTTGTAGAGGAGAAACCGGAAAAAGGCTTGGAAAAAATCAGAGATTTTAACTTACACGCTTTTGAATGGACAATTATTGCCATTCAGCTGTTGATCTCATGGGTAAGTTAATCATGCATGTTTTGGCTAATTCTGTACTTGTGTTTTGTCCCATTTATTCATTTTACTGTAAGATGTTCCTCACTGCTTTGAGGAAAATTGAATAAAATATCAAAAGGGTGTTTTAACTTTTAATTGGAAATTCCATATATACTTGATCCTTAATTATATAAAGTTACAAGTTTGGGAAAAGGTAGAGATTTTGGTGTTTTACTTACCCGTTTGAAATTTGAAGATAGATTAAAGAAGAAAGGACGCGTCTTGTAACAAGGGCTTGATTCTTTAGTGTAACAAGGGCTTGATTCTTTCCTATCATATATTAACTATAAAATTCATTTGTCTTCTTATGTTCAGCTGGTTTCACCATCCATTTGCTTAGCTTTCGGCAAGTTGTGCTTTTGACCAAGTACCAAAGACCTCGGTTTTCAACTTCAAGGTGTAGATTGTCCAACACTTCTACATGTTAGATAATCTTTGGAGTCAGGATTGTTTACTCAATTGACTAAAGTTAGAATCTGGGTTTGATACGAGATCTGTAGTGAAAAGGGAAATCAATTTGGTTGTGAAAAGAGAGCTCATATTGTGCAGGAAATCGGCGAAGCGTGCAAATCGTTTGGGTTTTTCCAGGTGCAGAGGATGTGTGGTTATGATTATGTATATTTTTGCTTTAAGAAAAAAGGTTTAAGAGTAACATAGAATAAAAATTGAAGCAAGTGATTAATCACGGGGTGGGTGTAGAAGCAGTGAGGGAAATGACAGAGGTGGCTCATGGCAGGAGTGATGTCAGAAAAAAAAATTATGTGGCATTACACTGTCAGCTAGCTCAGCTGGTTTTTAATGGTGTTAGTTTTTTAGGACCAAAAATTAAGGTTTCCTTAGGAGATGACTAAAATGTACCTTACTTTAAAAGAGGGACTAAAAACAAATTCGCTTAATTGTTTAGGGACTAAAAACATATATAACCCTTATATTTAATACTTCCTTGTAAAAATCAAGCATTTGTATTATTTTTGAAATTTATTTTGGCTAAAAGTAATACTAGGAGTCTTATGATAATTTGTTTTAGATTTTATCTAGAAAATGTTAGAATCATCAATTTTTATATAATTGTTAGTGAAATTATGATGACGTTATTGTGAGTTTACTATCAAATCCTTTTCAATTTTATGGTATGGACGTTTTGTATTACCTATATCAGTTAGCTTGTATAATTAATTGCTCCTTCACTAATTTTCTTAATTTGTATTACTATTTTTCGATTGGAATTGGATTCTTTTTTCTTCTTTTTCACTTGGACTTCTTTTGTTCTATATATTGTACAAGGTGACATGGAGGCTTGAGAATGAGGACAAACTAAAGAAAAAATTTCACTCTAAAGCTTCTTACATAGTTTCATATATGTTTAAGGAAGCAAGAAAAGAGGATAAAAAACTTGAAAAAATTGAAAATAATTTATTAAACCGCCTTATGAAAAAGTGGAATATATCTCTATATCAATTAAAATGTGATAAATTTAAGGGACAAGTGTATAGTCGAGCATATGCAAAATTACATGTCACATATGTAAAGCTTGTTCTAATCTACAAGTGTATTCATAAGATATTAATCAACTCAGACAACGATTTGAAACTAGTGTTAGACAGATAAAAATAATTAATTTAAGAAAATTATTAAATAAACTCTAATTTATATATTTATTACTTGATAAAAAAATATTAATTATTGTACCGGTTATAATCACTAGCTACTTTAGCTATTTTTGTGATAATTTTACTCAAAATTGACAAACTAGGTTGCTTTTACTACGCTAATTATTTGATCAATGTAAAAAATTTAAACTTCATATATTACGTGAATTTATATGGATTATAAAACCCATGTAATAAGCTAAAATAATTAAAAAAAGTATTTCTATGCATACTATAATGAGGCAATATTCATGTATGTAATAAAACATAGACTACTTTTGAAATCAACTTTCAACGGTAGACTTCTCAAAGCTATCTCAACGGTAGACTTCTCAAAGCTATCTCAACGGTAGACTTCTATAGCTCTCTTAAACCCAAGCCAGCCAACCATCAACCTTCTCCACTATCTCTAAAATACTAAAATTTAAGCTCTATAACATGAAAATGGGACAATGTTGTAGAAAAGTTTTTGAATAATGGAACCTCTCTACCTCTTTTGGCTTTAATTTTACTTAGATAATCGCCATTATCTTAAGGAGCAGTTTTATTGGCGAACGTGAAGACAAGAGGGTAGTTCTGCTGACATGTCTTTTTGCATTATTCTTTATTTTCACACGCAAACGTAATTCCAATCACAAATTTTATAATTCAATGCATTCTCTTTACATATTCAAGATTTACGTGAGCATTAGCCAGATCAAAATTTCTTTATGGGGTGAGAAGAAGAATGGTGCAAAGATTATTGTTCTTATTGCTGATAAAAAAAATCTTATTTATAACTCTGCTTTATCACTACAAATGACTTTGCTTGATGCTTTATTTGACTCAAGATACACATACATTAAGAAGAAACAAAACAAAAAGGTCGAACTGTATAATGTGCAGATTTTTTTGTGTAATGGAAAAAACTAATTATGTTTACAGACTTCACAGATTTATGAAGGACAATAACCAAAAATGAAGGATCAAATTCAAAGAAAAAACAAATGAAAGAATGAAAAATATCTGGGTATTTGATTATCTTGAAGAAAATTCCTTCTGTCAGGAAACTGGAGATGCAGAAGTGGATGTCAAGCTGCAAAAGAAAAAAAAGAAATTATGTAAAGTTATAAACTAAAACGACGCACTTAACCATTTGAGCAAGATAAACAAATTAAGAAGAAATCTTACTCTAGAATCTCTTTCCAGTAGGAACCGCTTGCTTCATCATCTTCAATGAGAAACTTCTCCCAAGCCTCAAAAGTCGTAGAGAAAGGTGACTCTGTGGACTTTTGTGCTTCGTTATAGTTGCTCTCCATTTTGTTGAAGGTAGTTGTCCTAGGACACGAAGCAACTAACGGTGGAAGTAAATTTTCTGCTTGATTTTGTTGTGAAGTGTTAATGTTTTTGGTATAACTACGAACTTCTTGATGATTAGTTTCATTTTCTTTTTCTATCCCTGATTTGAAGATGTTCTGCTGAGAATAGTCACTGGGTGTTTGAGAGAATGGATCGGATATGTTGTTAGCAGTAGGGTTTGGATATTCTGGACCTCTGAACATTGGATCTCTCACTTGGAGGGTGTTTGTTCCATGGAGGAATGTATCAAATGTCGGTGGGTTGAGAATTTGACTGTCTACGAGGTAAGGATTAGTCATGCTAATGAATGAAGAATTGTTCATAAGTTGTAACATATTCTGTAGCACTTGTAGTTTGGCTAATTGAGTGACATCTGGTTGTAAACCGGTAGGGTTGGTCCAAGGACTCATTGATGTGCCCAAATTTGACATGCCAAGCAACTGGGAAAGATTCATCAGATGATTGAAGTCAGTTCTTGGCCTGTGAGTTTCAGGATCAATACCCATGTGGAGAAGCTTTTTTCTTATGGTGGTGTTCCAGTAATTCTTGATCTCGTTATCAGTTCTCCCTGGAAGACTTGTAGCAATCTTTGACCACCTACAAATTGATCATAAAAATGAATTAGGGTTTCAACTTAATTTACATAACAAAAAAAGAAGTTATCTCAAATTTATCATGCTTCACAATACAAAGGAAAAAGGCATATTCATACTTGTTTCCAAGAACTGAATGAAGGTTGATGATCAATTGCTCCTCCTCTTCAGTTAATTTTCCTCTCTTAATATCTGGTCTTAGATAATTTTCCCACCTCAACCTGCAGCTTTTTCCGTTCCTATTTAGACCAGCATGCTTTGGAAGTGTTCTCCATGTTCCTCTTCCATGTTTGCTAATATAATCCATTAGCTTTTCATCTTCTTCCGGTGTCCATGGCCCTTTCTTAACATTACTCTCGTTACTGCTAGGTGACCTACCCATTAGGCAGGGACACAACAAATGTTCTACGACAAAAAAAGTAGAAGCAAACAGGTACAAGTTTTTGGGAGAGTTTGACAAGGCATAGGTATGTCCAGGTATTGTTATATATATGGTGTTTGGTGCATGCAATTCACGAAATGAGGTCATGCATTACCTTATTTCTGTAGTGATAATATTCTCTTGACATTAAAGTATCAGAATATTTTATCACGTGACACGTGATCAGAGACTAAAAGCTTTAGACCATGGGAATTTCCATATTTCACTTTGCTTGTATCAGTGCCTAGCAATATGAAAAATAAAAAAAAAACATTAACCCTTTCTGTTTCTAACCTCGATGTTTCGGCATTCATTCCTATCATGCGTAATTCTCAAGTTTCTTATTAACTTCGTCATGAGTGTGATAATCTTTTGTCATGTTCTCATCATTTGAAATTCTCGCAATGTCAGCTATATTTATATATTTCTATTCAGCAGCCACAACTGCATCTCAGTGTCCTCATTATGAAATTTATCACCTTTTCACCTAAAATTCATTCAAATTGCTCTAAGAAATGAAACAAAACCTCCAAATTGAAGTTGCTACCTATGTCAAAGGACCCAAAGGTGAGTTTGAAGAGGTCGAGTATAAGAATTGAAATTCATTATTAACTTTATATTAAGTTGTTAGTATTTTGAGGCTGTGGAAGGAACAGTTGATGGAGTAGAAAAAATGTAGAGATGACGAAATGTAGAAAAAATGTAGAGATAACGAAATGTAAAAAAAATGTGAAGATAGTAGAATGTGAAAGTAGTAGTTGAAAGAAGTGTTGTACTTGTCTTAGTTGTGATAGATGTTGTCTTGCATCAAAAGATATCGTACATGGGTATTTATAAAGTCATAAATTATTTTAGAATATGTTACCCACAACTTATGTGGAATGTTCTAGATTTTTACCTATGTAGAATGTTCTTAATTTTTTTCTTTCTATCTTAGATTTTTTTACAATATTATAGAACTTTTATTACATTTTAATACTTCTATCTTAGGAGTTTTTATATTCTTCTAGAATTTGCGTTGCACTTTAATACTCCTCCTTGATCCAAATTCGGTAACTCCAAGCATTGCGCGCAGTAGTTCAAATTTTGATGTGGTAACGCCTTCATGAAAATATCTACAATTTGATCTTCTATTGGACACTACTTGAGTTGAATTTTTTTAGTTGTCTCTTCATCTCGAATGAAGTGATATTTAATGGCTATGTGTTTTGTTCTTTGATGATGGACTGCATTTTTTTGCTATATATTGTTATTGTCGATTTGTTGTTCCAATAGCTAATAGTCAGTCTATCTTGTTGTTACCCATTTCTTCAAGTATTCTTCGTAGTCATTTTGCTTGACTTGTGGTTTCAATAACTGTTACATACTTTGCTTCAGTTGTTGATTATATCAAGGTTGCTTGCTTCTTTGATACCCAAGATAAAATACTTGATCCTAGTAAGAAAGCGTATCTGAACATACTCTTCATGTTGTCCATTGATCCTACCCAATCACTATTTGTGTAGCCAATCATCCATGAGTTAGTCATGGTTTTGTACCATAGACCAAACTCCTTTATGCCTTGTAGATATCTTAAAGTTCTTTTTCCTACTCCATAATGAATTTGACTTGACTTTTGCATGAATCTTTGTAGCATACATAATGTCTGGTAGTGTGGCTATGAGATACAGAGACTTCCAATCAAACTCCTGTAATGTGATGCATCTGCCTCTTGTGCTCCATCATCTTTTTTTGTAGCTTCTCGTTTACCACTAATGGAGTAGTGACATGTTTGCAATCATTCATATTAAACTTCTCGTTTACCAATGGAGTAGAGCTTCAATATGTTTCTTTTGAGAGATAAATATACACTCTTTTTGTTGTTTCACCTTTATACCGAAGAAATAGTTTATGAAGCCAAGATCGGTCATTTCAAATGTCTTCATCATGTCTTCTTTAAATTCTTTCGTCATAAGTATTTACAATTAAGTGATTGCTTGTGTGCCCCCTTCTTTATAAGATATGCTTTAAAATCCTTTTTATATGCCTCGAGTGTCATCTAAATCATTTTACACATCACTCTATTTATTTATCTTTAATAAGGACCTAAATATAATTTGAAAAAACTAATTTTTTAGGTTGAAGTTCGACGACAAGTTGACGTCATGTTGGATGTCAATTTCGAAGGCTAACTTATGTTGACACTAAACACTCGACATTGGAGAAGTAGTTTGGTGGCACATGTGTAGAAAGGTGGATCAACTCAATAGCTCAAAGATGAATGCGATTATGTGCAAGGACCACCTCCTATCCCTAGGAGAGACTCGCGTTGTCATCACCTGTGCTTCTGATCATCCTCCTCAAAGGGCAATATTGCATTGGAAAAATGGACCAGTCGCCATTAGCGAGTCCACCACCCCTTTGTCGATGATCTCTTTGTGGCCTCTTGTGAGATAGAGGGTGAGATCTAGACCTGTAAATTTGGCTCCCCGTACATGGTTTGGTCCTAACCTATGTGGGTTGAGGCCAGAAAAACCTACAGGACCAAAAAGTTCCCCATAGAAAAAATCCACAAAACCAAAATATCTAAAAAAATTCTTGTAGACCAAGGTTACCCCATAAGTCTTTTTTTTATAGAAAAATTTTCATTTTGATTACAACAAAAAAATGTAATTAACTTCTAATTCTTTTGCAAATCTAAGTGCTTTTAAAATACAAGATAGTAATTTTATATATTATATATTTGTTTTAAAGTATATGTTTTAGCATCATAGAAAAAAAATTGAATAAAAATCTTTAACTCAATTTTAAAATATAATTTTATTGATTTTTTTTTGTATATTATGATTTAACACGAAACTTCTATCTTTATGTTTAAATTTCTAATCATGTTGATTTTCTTCTTTATAAAATTAAAAGAAATTATTAAAATGTTATAAAAAAATTTACTTTTTATTAAATAAACAAGTCATTTATACTTTTTAAAATATTTATTTGATTTTAAAGAAATTAAAACCTAATTAAAACAAAAAAGTCATTTTATTTATTTAACATGAACAAATTTTTTGACAAAAATCACGTTTGGATAGACAATGTATTAGAAGTGATAATTCAACTTTTTTTACACAAAAGTTAGTAATTAATAAAATCATTAAATGTTTGACATGATTTTATATATGAGAAATATATTTGAAATGTTATTTCATACATGAAGATTGTTATATATGAGTATGATACCAAAATATAAAAATATATATTTTATTTAATATATGAAAATTCAAAAAATATGAAGTGTTATTATACATTTTATTTAATAACATAATAATAAGTATGATATAAAAGTATTGATGAAATATAATAAAATTACAACATATTAAACTATCTAATAAAATATATACTTCTATATGTATATATAACTGATATTGTTTTTAAAAATTAATTAAAGTTTTGTAGTGAGGCTAAACTTATCTTAACCTTGACCTTCTCTCACTTGAGGCAGTTGCTCCCTCCATCACCACCAAATCCTTCCTACACCTCTCCAAACCTTCCCAATTTTTTTTTAAATTCAAAAGTACCCTTTTTTTTACTTTAACTATATTTATTTACTTTTTTTTACCCAAGATCAAACACAATGCCCTGCAAAACAAGTAACAAAAAATTAATGTTATGATGAGATCCTCACATTCAAAGCATGCATCGTCATGATTGTTGACTGCTGACTGGTGAACACAATAAAAACAAAAGGCTGCCAAGACACGAAAACCACATCAGTGAAACGATTCACATAAATTCATAAATAAAGATACCCAAGAAATTAAAATTGCAATCAACCTGAGACGAATTGCTGAGACTCCAGAGATGTGAAGACTCGTAGCAGGGAAATTCACGAAAAAGATTGTAGATTCTGCAGGGCTTTACATCTTCTGGAAGGCCAGCGATGAAGAGGGTGCAAACCTCTTTTGTGGAGGGTTGAGGAGCGNATATATATTTTATTTAATATATGAAAATTCAAAAAATATGAAGTGTTATTATACATTTTATTTAATAACATAATAATAAGTATGATATAAAAGTATTGATGAAATATAATAAAATTACAACATATTAAACTATCTAATAAAATATATACTTCTATATGTATATATAACTGATATTGTTTTTAAAAATTAATTAAAGTTTTGTAGTGAGGCTAAACTTATCTTAACCTTGACCTTCTCTCACTTGAGGCAGTTGCTCCCTCCATCACCACCAAATCCTTCCTACACCTCTCCAAACCTTCCCAATTTTTTTTTAAATTCAAAAGTACCCTTTTTTTTACTTTAACTATATTTATTTACTTTTTTTTACCCAAGATCAAACACAATGCCCTGCAAAACAAGTAACAAAAAATTAATGTTATGATGAGATCCTCACATTCAAAGCATGCATCGTCATGATTGTTGACTGCTGACTGGTGAACACAATAAAAACAAAAGGCTGCCAAGACACGAAAACCACATCAGTGAAACGATTCACATAAATTCATAAATAAATATATCCAAGAAATTAAAATTGCAATCAATCTGAGACTAATTGCTGAGACTCCAGAGATGTGAAGACTCGTAGCAGGGAAATTCACGAAAAAGATTGTAGATTCTGCAGGGCTTTACATCTTCTGGAAGGCCAGCGATGAAGAGGGTGCAAACCTCTTTTGTGGAGGGTTGAGGAGCGCCGTAGGAACCGAACACCGCTTGTTGTTGATGCTGAGCCACGTATGGCGGATGCCCGTGGTGCACCGGCGGGACAACCGCGCTAGGTGGTGGTGGTATCACCGCCAACAACGGAGGAGGTTGCGGAGGCGGCAGTTGATAGTACTGGTGGTAATTGAGAAGGCCCACCTGTTGGGGCTATGAGTTCACACGTGATAAGCCCTGGAATTTTGGTTTATATTTTTCTCAATTGTTTCATTCGGTTTGGGAGCTTAAACGGATGTCAACATCCGTTTGTCCTTCAATGGATGTCAACATCCATTTGTCCTTCAATCG